TAGTCAATAAGCAAAGGTACTAACAAGTGCAATGAATAATCAAAGCAAAATTAGTGAAATCAATCACAATGATCATGGATAAAAATCAACCAAGTTTCATGTTAACAGAACAATCTGTTAATCAGTTGTGGAGATCCTAATTGTTTACTTCTTTTTAAAATTAAGACACTTAAAGATAATAAAAACATGATAATTCAACCAACCAGCTCAGAGAACACAACTCCTTCAATAGTTAATTAATACAACGGTTTGATTAATTAGTCGAAACTGGTATGTGTCATGTCCAATACTTAGTTCTGAATGAATGCTGTTAGTTGCCATTTTGTTATATGACGATTAATTCAATTGACTCGTGATCTCAACTAATGAAATTACTATAGTATTCACAAACCCTCTTCTGATATTATTCAGCATGTGCTCACTAATGACTTGCTTCAAGAGGTATTTCCTGGAGCTCCTGTAAGAAGCAGTGACCAGTGGATTTCAACCTGGTCTGTTGTGAGATAGTAACTCACTGATGACAATGGTGGATATGTCACTCAATTTCACGGATTAGTTGAAGTTAAATATTAACACTGTTGGATGCCGACTGTTTCAGTGGTCTATTGGTTAAGTGTTCGTGCGCGACATTGATATGTCCTGGGTTCAAATCTCGCGAGACGGGGTCGTGGATGCACACTGCTGAGGAGTGCCACAATAGGACGAAACGGCCATCTAGTGCCATCAGGTTTCCAATGTTGCTCTAACTACAATTGACTCGTGATCTCAGCTAATGAGATTAATTTAATGTGAATTTCCTGATATTTATTCACACTCGTACTTATCTCTGTTTATATCATCTATATATAACTTATCTATTAGTTTCGCTAACTCTTTACTTTGCATCAAGCAAAAGTTTCTAAACATGATGAACATGGTGTATTGTGTAAATTTTTTATTGGAGATTCACAAGAATATCATTTATAAGTTCCAGAAATATTTCAAGTTTAATATGACTGAAATTCCAAACTTAACCCATCGACAATATTGAATCGAAGTTATTACTTTAAAATTGATATATCAGTTGGATATTAATTAAATTGTTACTATTTTTATAATTTGGAGAATTTTCATTAAATTACATAATGTCTGATCTAATGTACTTATTAGCAGATCACATGTACATTTACAAACTTAATAACATATATATTGAAATGTAAATAATGGTATTTCTTTATAGGCTAGTTTATTTGTTATTTATAGTTATTATTGTATAGGTAAAGATGGATGGTGTCTAGCAGTGGAATCCAGGAATTGTGTTTCGTCCTATTTGTGACTGATCAGCTGGATGTACCTGCATCCCAGAATGGATGTTCATTCTGGGACTCGATCCATTATATATCTTTGCTTAAAAAGCTTGTGACTTAAAGCTATATTGAGGCAATCCGCACAGCATGTAAATATGCCAACCAGAAACTGATCAATTGCAGTCTTAAATAACAATGGGAAGATATAAGTAAAACAACACTAAATGAGTTTTACTGTATGCGTTGTTGTTAAACACTTATTTTTTTTGAAAAAAACTGTTAATTAATTCTATGCAATTAAAAAGTAACAAGAAAGTAGATTGTAGCCTACATATTATTATTATTAAGTTGTCTAATGTTCCATTCTAATATAATCATTCATGAATTTAATTAAATTATATGTTGGACTCAGTGACAGATCTATTTCTGTCTACCCCTATATATATATATATATATCAATTAGAAAGGATGTAGAGATTTAAGAACAGATCATGAATAGTTTTGAATATAGATTGACACTATTAAGCAAAAAAATTCATTGAACACTAATCAGCAAGAGACCTTTTCATTTTCACTTAGTAATTAGAGTTTTTTTATATCGTTGACCAATCACCGTCGTAACCGTTATCATATAACCCTCAACGGTGTTTGAAATCAGAAGTCAAAGAGAACCAGCAACTACAGGTTTATTAGCAGATAACTCAGACCACAAAGCAGTGAGGCGAATGAGTGAGTCAGAGAACCGAGAGTGTAGAATGTGTCGAGTGTAAATGTACATATATATATATATATATATATATATATATATATATATATATATATAGGGCAATGAATGGATCATCGAATCAATTCAGCAGCTAATAATAAAGCTAGTAGAATGAATATGTGCCTAGGCGGTAAGCAATGTTCAAGCATACATATTTCATACAATCACAACAATAATAAAGGTACAATAAGTTGTTATAGTACGGATGACTTTGTCCGCTAAATAAGTTAACAAAAGGGCTTAACCGAATTAAATGAAAACAAACTCAATTGCACGTGAATTGCTATATAAACATTATAATTTTATTATTATTCCGTTTCAAGGAATTAAACAATTATTAGGCGTTGGAGATTAGGAAATATTTTATGTTCTGAGGTCTGTAGTTTCTATCAGATAGTATTAGTTAACAATAAGATCTACATGTTGTTTTTGATACTATTTACTTTGTAAAGTTTACAATTATGTCTGTTTATCAGCATAAATAAGAACTGCAGAAAAAAGGGTATGCTATCATGATTTGGAATTCAGTTTTGGTCATACACATTTCAATGAAAGGGAAGTGCTTACCATACATATATATATATATTTCTTAAATTGGTAAACTATGGATATCACGGGAACAGAAATAATAATAACTGACATAAAACAAACAGTTCTTTTATTCCATCAATATCTATAATGACTATGTGCACATACAGAATAAAACAAACGGAAATGGATATAAAAACATTCTTTTATGATATAAAGTACATAAATAATTTACTATTAACATAGGAAATACTTAACTCAGGTGGTCCCATAAGCTTAATCATAAATGAATTGATATGAATATGGAAAATGAATAATGTCTTTTGTATTTTAATGTCTAATTTCTGTGACCAGTGGAGCTAATCCGTGTCGGGTAGAGACAGGTATCTACCTCAGTACAATGGAAGATGGTCGCGCGATTTCGTGTATAAGTTGAAGTTAGACATAAGCACCATTGGGAGCGGGCTCAGTGGTCCAGTAGGTCAAGCGTTCGCGCGTGATACCGGTGGTGGGATTGTGGATACGAACTGCTGAGGAGTCCCACAATAGGACGAAACGGCCGTCGAATGCCTCATGGTTTTCAATGGTGGTTTAACATCAATCGGTTCATGATTTTAATCCAAAAATACCTTTCTACTTAGTCAAACTATTGTATGAGTATAACAAAACTTACGAATTATTCATATCATTTTGAGTCATTAGTTTGGGTAACGATGAAGGGTAAATGGAGATGTTGAAAGAAAATTGTTCAGCGGTTATATTACTATGTATTCATAGCGGCGTTTAGTGGAAGGTATCTTTGGTGACATAAAAGAAGAAGAAATGAATCAATGAGCAGACTTTATTTTACAGTGAATCCATTCTCAAAGCTGCACAAATACATGATATGGCAATCAATAAAACATTTATTCCCATTTGGTATTACTCGACACATTAACGATTTGTAAATTCTTGTATATTACCTAGTACTTATCACTATTCCCCACAATTCTTTCCTGGGATTTTGAGAAAAATATTTTGCTATATTGCGAAGAGCGCTGAAGGTACTTTCTAAGTTGTGTGGTTAATCTTTAGATATCATTATGAACACAGTTATAGATAGTACATCTGAAATCTTTCAAAGCCTTGGCAGATATTATCTTATGTGATACTAACTCTCCATTCAATTAACACCTTTCTTCTAGTAGAGCGGGATGCAGACATTGAAATCCAGGCATCCAGGCAAAAGTACAAAAGCTTTATAACACCGTATCAAGTAAATATACTATGTAATGAACAGGTTTAAGCAGTGACCCAATCGGAGAGTTATATTCTTGAAGATGATGTTCATTAAAATTTGTGTAGAATCTTATCTTCTTAAAAATATTTTATTTAGTTCTACATAACTTATTTACTAATTTGCTGCGTAGATGAAGAGGAACTTTCCGAAGTATTGTATGCTGAGAACTCCATATTGTACAAAAGATATTATTATTATCACTTAATCCAAACACATTAACAAAGGGGTACAGTAAAAAAGCATTAAAATATCTGATGCTTACTATTACACTAGAAATTCAGTTGTTAAGTTGATAGAAATCACTAAAGAATCCTATAATATTCGATAACCCTAGTTAGTTGTGAAGTACCTTGGACAAGATAATAAAGTAAATCATTTATGCATATGAAATACGATAAAGAACCCAGCTCACTACATTTGATACGTTTCTATTAATCTGGTAGATGACTCAGCATAATGAATCTGTGTCGATCGAAGAGTCTGTATTCACAAACTTTTATATTATTAACCCCCTTATGGATCTAACTTACCGTTATCTGAAACATTATGGATAAAGTTATTGAAATCCCTTAGATAATGCATGTACCAAAAGACCTATATATGAACTGATTATGCGCCTCTGAGGATGGATTAGCTGGTAAGAGAATAATGAAAATCCACTAACTGCTGTGATTGAATTAATTTACCATCACTTTAGCACTCATGAATAAGACACGGTTGATACTCAATGCATAACGTTATATCCATTTGAGAAAACATAGATAGCCTATCGTATTGTGAATTCGTTTTGGAACAATCCATTTAGTAGAGAATGTTACTAGATAGTAGACTTTTTCTCTCCATTAGTAATGGAATAAATAGAACATTTTAGGCTGACATACCACTTCATATTATACTCTGTATCTTGTACGTTGATGAATGAAACTAATAGAATGATAGGTTAATTGAAATCGGAAACATTAGCTAATAAAATAAAACTAGCTTAAATTGACTAGTAAACTCAACTGTTGAAAGTATTTCAGCCACCACAAGTACCCTTACTGAAAATAAAACTGCTTACATTTAATAAAAAAACTTTTAAACACTTGAGTTTACTTACTACTTTTAAGTAGTGTAAAGAAACTTCGTAAAAGTCAATTACCTGTGATAGTCACTCTCCAAGTTGAGTTCAAATCACAGTTTGTTTCCAATCTTTGAGTAGATACTTGTATTTCTGGATACAGTCGACCGATCTGTTCAGTGGAATATTTTCCATCACTTGGGTTATTGATTTTATCATTAAATTCATTGGGTATGGATTGTGTAAACGTTAGTCCGTTTAAACAAGCAGCAGTGTATAATAAGGAATGATTGATATCTATATTTAAGTTGAATGAAAAGAGATTATCTATATTAACAAGTTTGAAAAATATCACTAACGGCTGAATAACACACTAAATTTTCCAAATGACGCACTAAATCCCACATCTTAAAATCTGATGAGAGATAACTTCTACTGAGTGTACCTTGATCGTAGCTAGATTGAAATTTGCTTCAATAATTCTCGAGCTACAACAAATAATTATACTATAACTTGAATCGGCCATGTATGTGCAGTTACTTTATAACATACAATTAGTGTGTAATGTTTTCACTTAGAGACGGTTAACTATTTTTATTTGTCTTTTTCACTTTAGATTTATTTCCACAACAACGGTGGCTGCTTATTTCGTTTGAGATGTGAAGGGACATATAAGTTGGATGTGACCATGAAGTTATTATTTGAACTTATCAGACTAATCTTAATCCCAAGGCGTATATTGCTATTAATTGTTGTTAACTATGCTTCCTGTAATATGCGAATGAATTCTATCTATTTACTGACTCGTTGGTTCATTCTTCTTTTGCGCTTTTACAAGCTTCTCTCATGTATGTTGCTCTTCAGATTCCCCAAGCATACAAAACACATTCAAACTAGATGTTAACGTGCTGATACGCAATAATGGAATCCATAATTATTACTAATCAAGGTAATTCAAGCATTAGAAAAGTGTTTTGTCTTTGATGGCGAACGGTGTTACAAACTTCCTGTCAAAACAATAGTAAATATTTTTCTTTACATATTTTTTCCATGTAAAAATTGCAGTAACATCATATTTCAGAGCAAAACTTTTTCTTAGTTAGTCGGTATGTTCTTGTCTAAATCTCAATTTGTCTCTTAGTCTAATACAAATTAAAAACATCGATTTTGATATGTTTATTAAACCTATAAAGGAATATTTCCTTCCATAGATTTATCATATATTTGTTACTTAAATCTTAGACAATCACAACTGATTTAATAGAACTAAATTTTTGAATAGCCTATTCTTATCTAAGAAGTTTGTTCAATAACTTATAGGAATATTTAAAACACATAGATCATGGTGAAGATAAATTACAAGCATAATCTTGATATCGATTGTAATAGGTGTTGTCTTTCTCATAGAATAAGGTAAAGTAAAGTTATCATATTTAATCAAGCTTTCATTAAAGTTACCTTAACCTAGGTGAATACAAATAATCCTTTGTATATATATATAAATCATAAAATTATGGACGTTTTGGATAATTTTAATGAATCCCTGTTATAAATAATTTCTCCCTCCTTATTGTTAATATTTCATTTTATAGTTGAATTTACGAGCCAACTGAAGCTAGGCCACCATGGCTAAAAACCTGGAAACACTGGACGGCCGTTTCGTCCCATTGTGGTAGTGGAAATCCGCTATCCCGCCCCACGAGAATCAAACCCAGGACCTATCAGTCTCGTGCGCAAGAGCCTAACCTCTAGACCACGGAGCTGGCATCCTGGAGTTGTATTGAAAAGCAGTGACGAGTGGAGTTCGACTGGGTCTGTTGTGAGATAGTAACTCACTGATGACAATGGTGGATGTGTCACTCAATTTCGTGGATTAATTTAAATTAGACATTAACACCGTTGGATGCCGGCCGGCTCAGTAGTCTAAGGGTTAAGCGTTCGTGCACGAGACAGATAGGTCCTGGGTTCGAATTTCGCGAGGGGGGTCGTGGATGCACACTGCTGAGGAGTGCCACAATATGACGAAACGGCCGTTAAGTGCTTCCAGGTTTTCCATGTTGGTCTAGCTTCAATTGACTCATGAATGCAACTATAAAATTACCAAAATCTCCACAAAACCCTTTCTGATAATAATATTTTATTTTATTTACAATTAACAATCTTGTTGAAAATGTTTTAAAACATTTATTCTTAAAGTGTACAGTAAAGATAATTCTTACTTCAGGATCATAATATGTCTTTCTTGAGAATTCAATATTTCGAATTGTTATTATGATAATCACAGTGACAGTTAAATAAGATGAATACGTTGAGTAGTAGGGTTATTGGAGATAAATACACGCTAATTATTTAATCTAATCCTCAGAATAGATGAAAATTCATCATTCAGAAGCTACAATGTTTTTATAGAGTTAAATATTGTTTTAACCATCTGGCACCTAAATATGGGAACATTTCAGTGCAATCACACTACATTGAAAATACATATTAACTTACGAGATTTGATTTCAATGGTTGTTCTTTTTTGTGAATTTTTCAATGTATACAGGAATGCATTTGATGTAGTTCTCCGTGGAATGGATGTAGTTTCTATTGAAACTTTAGTGTTTTCTGCATAGATTGGTTGTGCACGATGAATATGACTTATATTGATTTGACATGTTTGATTGCCCCAATTAGAAGTACTGTATTGAAATGGTTTAGAGAACTGGAGAAAAATTATTAATTTAGTGGTGGATTTCATTGATTTAAAATAGGAAACAGCTATAACATAATCAGGGAGTGGTTAAATTTATTTCATTTTCCAGCTAACACTTCTTCGGAGTCCGAAAAAGCTAATAGTTGGCAGAATGTTTTGTAAAACAGTGTTGGATTATAAGAAGTAAACGTGTATTCTGATTATATAAATCAGGTTAAGAAGCTTATGAAATATGTGTTTCTTGAATTCGTAGTATAAATATCTGTCTATTGTTAATCTTCGACGTGATTATCTTCAACACATTGGTCTAAGCTTGACAACCAAAAGCTTCCCACGCAACACTTTAGAGTGATATGAAAAGACTTTGATTGATTATAATGACTTATTTCATTCTTTTGTTACCAGAATGACTTTTAATGATATCATCATCTATATTTCCACTGAAATCCAATAGGAGTTGGTCACCTTTTACTTTTACTCCCACCCTGGTACTCAAAAATTAAGAAAGTCTTACCCGGAAACCTACACTCTTATCCTACTGTAGTAATTATGTGTTAGTAAGGGAGCGTATCAGTGCCTAACTAGCTTGCCACTTTTAGCATGATGTAAATAACCTCTGATTTGGAATAAAAGATCAGTGATTGTGAGTTTTTTCTGCACATGCGATTTTACTACTTATTCATAATAAGTAGTCAAACATATTTATTTCTGGATTTTCGCTTCTCAACGATTGAGATTCTTTTGAGAAAATGAACCATCTATTTATACTTGAGATTTGAACCACCTTTGAATTTTATATTTCTAACTTTGTTCTCCATTCATTTAGTTTACATGCATTACACTCCATACAGCATCAAGAACGGTGTTAGTATAGTGGAGTTATGTTCCACCAATTATCGTAAAACTTTTTGATTGAAATCATGAATCAATTGATGTTAGACCACCGTTGGAAAACTGGAAGCACTGGACGGCCGTTTCGTCCTAGTATGGGACTCTTCAGCAGTGCGCATCCAACAGTGTTATTGTTCAAAATGTCGCGTGACCATCTTTCATTGTCTTCGGTGTGTAGCTCGCTCACACTCAACACGGTTTAACTTCACTGGTCACGGTCTCTTACTAAAACTCTGAAAATTCCCTCTCAAAGTTAGTCACTAGTGAGCACATGAAAATCACTGAAAATCTGTTTTTCGACTTTTCTTCATTATATGTTATTTCCAGAATAAATGTTGGCTTATGTGTAGTAATCGACGACAGTGTTATATAAGACTTATATGTGTACTTCGTTTCCTTTCTTCGTGTACTTATACACTTATAAAAAACTACTGGACAAATCACTTCCTCTTTAAAAGTGAAAACGGCGATGAAAATTTCACCCTGATAGACTGAGCCAAACAACTATAGCGTAATGGGATTCCAACTAAACAGAAGATCGTTACATACATCTTTTAAGAAAATCAAACTAAAACATAGTGAAATATAAAAGTCAATTTATATTTGGAGCATAACACTTAAATTTAAATGAAATACATAAATGTAACTGCTGGGGTTTGATGCATATGTGATTGGTTCATATCTTGATATCCACTATCACCTACAGAAATATGAGTTTGATAAAAGCTTTTTGGTGTCTAAACTTAGAGGTTAACATAACCAGTACGATAATATGATTGACGTGCATAGACGATAGTTTCCACGACTTGGCTTACATTATGTTTAAATTCATTAAAATAATTTGGACATTTATTGCAGTGTGCCTCGAATCACTCAGCCGTCATCTCCTTTTTAAGTCTTCACTGTAGACTATTTCATGTGAGGCTATTCCCAAATTTTCATAGTGTTCGCTCCATCAGCGATGGAAATTGTAGTAATTTATCTCTGATGCTGAGAAGTGCCGCTCAATATTTTACATTATTTGGCTGACTTCTATATATTTCACCTGATTACTTAAAAGAGATAAGAATAGTTGCTTACCTGCACAACTATGTATTTCTCCTCCTTATGTCTTTGAAGTGGAGGAGGTTCAGTTCCAAAATCTTTCAAAAACTTCAGTTGAAACAGTGATATTTCTTTGTCAACAGATCTATGAATAATTGCATCATCCCATATAGGTAAACTCGTCTTATGCTCTAAATAAATATTCTCATTCCATAACAACAAAATACCATGTTTTAGAAATCGTTGCTCCAGAGTTTGAATATAATAATTCACTTTGTTTGATTTACGTCTTGAAGGTTTTCCGTTATTCATTAATTGAATGTTATATTTTAAACGAGGACTACTCCATACTAATTTTGGTAAACTTTGAATTTCAAGAGTTAACCAAGTTTCAATAGTGTATATAGTTTTCGGAGGACGATGTCGAACATGACATATATAAGTCCCATTAGTAAAGTCAAATTCAGGATTTAAAGTAAATTTTAATGTTTTACCTAGAATAGAATAAGCAATAAGAAGTTTGTCAGTCTTTAAATTTATAATAGACTGTTTGTCATTGTCAAGCAGTATTGGACTCTGAATTTCAGATAATTTATAAGATCACATCAAATCATATATGCACCTTTTCATCCTGGAAAGGCATATGATATACAGTACACAGTTGGATTTATGTACACATAAGTTGTTTATAAAGTCGATTTATTCATCACCATGTAGTTCATTTTGTATTTGTTTATTTTTCGTTTACTATTAATTACACATTTTTTTTGCCCCCAAATGCCCTGGTACGGCCGAAAGTGAGGAGAGTCAATTCTCCATCTCGAAATGCTCTCACATGGTCACGCGTATATAGCCTCTGTCAGGGAAGTCCTACTCACTGTCTTCTCGTGACGGGGGTGTTGTTTACGAAATTGAAAGGACGAAAAGCGAATGTCCGGCGCTTTAACCGGGTTGGTGGACATGGAGAGTCCACCTAGGGAGGTTGGAAAACCCTGATCCCAAACCAATGGTGCACATGGGCTCCAGTATCCTAAAGGAACAAATGGCGTATGAACCAATCGTTTGTCACCGGCTACCATGAGACTGCATCCCCTTACGTTGCTCCACCGCCTTGTGGACGAGACCTTCACGTCGAAGACTCCGGGTGTGGCCCCTTGAGAAAATCAGCTGCTTCGGTTTGGGCACCCAAGCAGTATCACAGCTTTCACAAATATCAAATGAGACTTGTGTAGCGCATATGTATTTGGTGCCTCCTTGTACCAATATCTATGTGTTAAAATAAATAAAAATAAGTAACCCATTTTATCCCTAATTAATGTTACATAATCTTTAGTAATTTCATACGCCCAGGTATATCCAACTAAAAATTCTCTGATTTCATTGGTCCTATTTTTGTTGATCACATTTAATCGATTTCTATTCATATTTACAACAAAATTTATGCTCCTACGTGGAAAACATCCCATCAAAATCTCTCATCTTATAGTTATCTCTTCAACCTTTACCTTAACATAAGTCATATTATTAATAATACCATTGATGATCCATTTATTTACTAAAACAATGATTATTATTTCACGTAAGTAGGATTACAGTTTTGAAAACGAAATCATCGAAAATGAAATTATTTTCGTTAGATAATTTGCTTTAATTTAATTTAACTACTTATTAAAAGTAGTTAGAATATATTTTTCGTAAAAAAATATATTTATAAGTTTACCTTGTAAACATATCTCAGTTGCATTCGAATGTCTACTTGTATACATCTCACAACGGGAACCAAAATAATCAAGGCAACTTGGATTGGAATAACATTTAATACCACAACAGTCAGGATCTGTTAGAAAAAAAAAGGATAAAAATAGGATAGTTAATTGAATCAAATAAAAATAACCAAAGAATAAACTATTAGGTAATAAAGAAAATCATCTTTGATATTGTTTTAGTCTAGATCTCAAAAAGGGTAATTTCCTCTGCACCATTCAACTAAATCATTCTAAAGTTAATTTGTTATTTCGTATATATATCTTTCACAACTATTCCATTGACATAAGGGGTTGGAGAAATATAAATTACATTAGATAGACTTAACTAATACTGATTAGATTGTTTCTTAGTCAGTAGTCTTTTGTCACATAACAATTGGCGCTAAAAAAGAATAGTTGTTTTTACCGCTTTCAATTTTCTCATGTCACTTATATTGATGACCATATTGGGAAGCGATTTTTTAGTTTCTATGAGAAAAATGTCGAGAAAGCTATTTTCATTAGCCACATTTTCTTTTACTGTAAAACTCCTTTTTACAAATTCTTTTGTATCAATATGCGTCTGTCAGTTTACCTACACTTTTTATTTTAAGGCAAATAACAAGTAATCAAAGTTTGCGTTTCGAATGTGTGTTATAAAGCAATTGTATCTGCTTTTTTGAAGATAAATAGTGTTTTAGTGGCCTGATATATTTGTCTCCAATTAGATAGGATGAATGATTGTTATTAAAATGAACATGTCGTCTATCCTCGCATATAATTATCAACTTAACTCGCGTTAATGAATAACGAATCAGCCAAATACGAAAATAGATTTTGAATACGTATATTTCATGCACTCAGTGATTTGAACAGGGAATCAGGGAGACGAAACAAAGAGGGAGGAGCGTAGCAGATTGGAGAAGGAGTATGAGCCAACTCAATTTAATCAAATGTTAGTCAATATTTATAGTCTGATAGATATAAGTTACAGACATATGACGAATAGAATAAGAAGTGTTCACACATACGTTCATATGAAAACAGGCAAGATTGATAAACGAATAATTAACAAGGTCAAAGTGTAGCTTGAGAATAATGGATAAATTGGTTTGTCTAGAAGCTAGAATAAGTTATGTGGGCTCGACATAGGACCAGCCACTACAATGTAAGTATATATTCCAAGAAAACTGGTTGGTTTCTTAATGTGTGTATCGTTTGTATGAGTTTGTATAATTTGCAAGTAATATCTCTGTGAATGAAATGGTCATTTAGTGAATTATCTCTTTTGTAAAATGGCACAATAGGGAAATTTAAGCATATGTAGAATACCATATCTGAGAATTCCTAATAAAAAGACCTAATATAACAAATGCATGTTTTATTAGAAAACAGTGTTTCTAATCATTAAATCTTCACAGAATTGCAATCAAGTCGCTTAAGTGAGTATAAATTATCTCTCTATACCGTATAAGTCCGTTTAAAAAGGAAAGCAGACAGTGAATTAACCTCAATAACTAACCAATTAAACAAAATATCATGCTGTTCAACGAATTTTAGTGACTCTTATCAGATGAAGTTCAGTTATGTCGTGATATAAGAAAGAACCTTCAATTATACCAGATCCTTATCCTACTGTACAATGTGTTGATCGGGGTTGAAATTTGTTGGGGACGATAGATCCCCAAACTCATATTTTAAATTTTATCTTATCGATCAAATGTTAGATATTTTTATTGGGGTCAATTGATGAACTATCGATTAAATGCGCAAATAGGTCAATTAATGAACTCATTGATTAATGTTTAAAAATTTTCTATCGATTGTAAATAATTGTATAAATACGCTTGACTTGTATGCTTGATCTGATCTGCCTGCCTGACTTGTTATCTACTGTTTGTCTGTAGAATACACTTTCTACACCTTACCCAGACTTCTTGATCAAGTTAGCAGAGTTGGGGACAACGAACCAGAATAGCTATCGAGTCGCTGAATCATTGATCCTTCGTTCCGTTCGAGTAAGACGCATCAGTAATAGCATTCAAGCAATAACGAAACGTAACAAAATTATGAACCACTGGATACTGACTAATAAGTCTAAGATTATTTATTTTACGAAAGTCCTCTTAGGTCCGATACCTGGCGAGATCATGAGTGCGCAATACTAAATCGAAATAGATTTCCGCGCGTCCCAAGTATTTAGTACATCGTTATCTATAATCATATTGTGAAAAAGATCTAAGTTTACAGAAACATAATAATGTAGAAATAATACGTACCATTAGCTTGCCTGATATTTTGTTCGATAGTATTAACGCGCAATAAATTTCCATAGAATATTTCTTCATTAAAATCATGATTAGTTTCAATTTCAACATGATTACTAAGTAAATTGTTTTGAACTTTCTTTAAATTTGTCTCTGAAAATACTTCAGTTTTACTATTGAAACATGATTGTTTTAAACATGTTTGACAAATACGTCGTTGTGTATCACAGTGCATATCTTTTAAGTATGATTGACTTTCTATAATGTTTTCTTGAAATAATTTATTGACCAATGGTGAATTGATTGTACAATAAAAACTATTTAGTTGAGGAGGTAGATATGAAGCTTTCTAAAATATAAATCAATAAAGTTATAGTATAAAAAAAGAAAATCAATTACTGACAATTAGTTAATCAGAAGGGATTTATGTGGATATTATTAGTAATTTCAATAGTTGAGATCATGAGTCAATTGAAGGTAGACCACTATGAAAAATCTGGAACCCTTGGACGTGAGACATTATTCAATGGTATTTTTAATTTTTTCAGTCTTATTGTTACACACACCAAATGAGGTCAATTACAAGAGGAGGAGTCTCTGCCGAGGAGTCCTACAATAGGACAAAACGGCCTTCCGTTGCTTCCAGGTTTTCTATGTTGGTCTAGCTTCAAATAATTCATGATCTCAACTATTAAAATAAGTTAATCGCTTCATAATAAAAATAATGATAAAACATGAATGCAATTATTTCCAAGCATCAAAAAGTGTATTTAAGAAATCATGCAAAATGTTACATTCTAGATTGTATGATGCATGAATATATCCATAGTATTATGAAACAATGTGGAACTAGTGACAACCATGAATTTTCAAATGATTAACTCTTGTTACATAATAATCAATCGTTAGAAAAGATGAAATAGATCAATAAATTGTGAAAATTCCAAACATGCTACTCATTAAGTGATATATATGAATATGATGTTACTTGATTGTTGTTGAAATCTTTGAATGATTATGATTCCTTTATATTAAGAATGTCAATATATGTAGACGGTTTAGGTAATGAGTGGAAGTCAATCATTTGAAAAATTGACATTATTTAACTTAAAAAACTGTAATCAACTTACTATAATACCAATATAAGCCAATGTTTCTCAATTATTTATTGAGTCAGTAATTTTTCGTCAAAGTCTGTTACACTCAAAGTCCTTCAAAGGGCAAAGGCAGTAGTCATTCGTATTAAAAAAAACCCGGAGTTATATGTACAAAAGAAATAACTTTAACCGTTTCTCGTACTTTGGCCAACCTTAGGGTCAATTAATCATTAGTAATTTTAACTATTGAATGACCTGATTTGACTAATGTACTTACAAGATTTCTTAGTCAAACATAATTGTCTCCGTTATCTTTATTCATATATGTATGTGCTATTAATATTATAGTTATTATAATTAATTTAACGTCACTGCTAGTATCCCGAATAAATGATTAATCTACTTTGTACTCACCCCGCATTTTTATTTCTTACTAAGTTCATTTAACTTTCTGAACAATGTAGTCTCCCACTGAACATTGAATGGAATTTCTAATGACACTATTATTTCTTTCACCCTATCTAACCCATATTTATTCTGATCATAAATCTCATATTTTCATTTAACCTATAGGCTTATTCAAGTTAACATTACATATTATTCATCTCGATATTAACCTCTAGACCATTGAGACGGCCGGTATCCAACGGTATTAATGTCTAACTTCAACTGATCCGTGAAATTGAGCCAGCGTCCACCATCGACTTCAGTGAGTTACTATCTCACAATAGACCCGGCTGAACTCCATTGGTCATTGTTTCTCACCAGAACTCCATGAAATATCTCTTGAAGCCAGTCACTAATGAGCATGTTTTAGTTATTGGTCCCAAATTCGCGATGTGGTTTGCCTTAAATCTGGTCACTTTTAGGATTACTAATACGGATATATTATTGTAGAATCTGAAGACAATTTACTGAAAAGAACATCCTTCATTCATGTATTAGTGTTATGAATATTTTCTTAATTATTCGAGTGATGTTGTATACATCGTTAATGAACCATATACATTTTAATAAAAATAGTCAAATCTACAATGATATGCTGAATTAAAACAGTAGACTGATAAAAACTGCTGTGTAACTTCGTTTCTGCTCATAACATGCTTGATTCTAACGTAATTGAATAAATTGTATGTATGTACTTATGTCTCCATTTGCCTACATTAGTCTTTGTCTATTCCCATAGTTACGGTCTTGCTAATTATATACTGTAAACTCTGAATATTTTTTTAGTTGTATACATCTTATTAGTATCTAACATTTGTACTAAAAATTGTTATTTGAAATTCAGACATTATTTACCTTATTATAAAGACTAAACCACCCTTTATTTGCTAAGTAAAGTTTTACAACTACTCCTATCCATATCTTATCAATTTTCATATTCATTCATTCAATCTGCCTGTTCACATGAATATCTAAATTATACATGTCTTAAATAAAATCATATTTGACCTTCTGTAGTGTTTGAAAGAACTGATTATTTCTTGGTACTTGTTGAATGCTTGATTTTGAATTCTAAATACAGTACATTCGTTTGTGGTTATCTAGTACTTCTTGATCCGATTACGTTATTTCTGGGATTCTTAGTTCATACTATAATTTAAATACTTCTAATTATCACACCTTCTCTTTCTATGTTGTATTAGTGATTAATCGGCAGCAAATTTATGAAGTGAATTAGGATACATATTTTATAAATATCATTATAGTTCATGGAGTAAGCAACGGACAATAAACAATAGAGAAATAATAATCAATATTATCAGTTAGTGATTAAAAGAATTTTATGGCTTGACTAAACACGATTGAAAAAATCAGTTTTAAGTAACATTTCATATAATTTGGTAGTATGTGTACTCTCAACTGTTATGAATTCCAGTTCGTTAACTGAATATCAATAAATCCTGGAGAAATATCAGGGCTACTTGTTACTGCCATCCAAATATTCCAACAAGCTGTCTTTTTTTGTTTGTTTTTAACAGAGTAATTGGGTGCACAAACTAATCAGGTGAGTTTGTGAAAAGTTTACGACATTTCACTATACGAGTTAACTAAATTTACAATATGAATCTTTGTGGTTGCTGACAATATGCATCGAATTGAATGAACGTTGTTCATATGTGGATTTCTGAATTGGTAACGTTTAATTGGCAACTACTCAATATTTCCCGTCAATATCGATTAAGACATAAGAGAGAGAAAAAACCTGTTGAAATACTCTGTCCTGAGAATTCTATATTGTACCGAAAATATAATACTGAATTAAGCTAATAATATGAATAATAAAAATAATAATAATAATATACATAATATTTTTTTACTGTCCTGCAAACAGAGAGGAGAAAGATTTGAGTCAAAAAAGGAAACTCATGACCATTTAAAGAAATATAACTTTATGATTTGATAAGTGAAAAATGAAAGCTTTTAAAAGATGTGAAAATTTCTTTAGCTGATTATTGACTCTTAAAACTAATGGTGTCAAAATTTATAACTGAAAGTCAAAATTCAAATCATTTTAAGTTGCTAAGTGGTTAATAATTAATGTTCCCTTAAATTGAAACTTAAAGTTTGATCAAATATTGTAGTATCAATCATATGAAAGTTTCTCCAAATTTAAATATTATGTCATTTAATTCATTAATTCTTTTAAACTACTTATAATATAGAAATAGTAGTATTTAAAAACTACGAAAACAAAACGGTGTTACTATTTAGGTCCTAAAGTCTGTGGGCACTAACCCTACTTCGCAATATTCCAGTGTATTTGCCTTGGCAGGCACATTATAAACTAATAGATACCACTGAAGGCAACAAAATTTGGATATTTATTCACATTTGACTGTAGCAATCAGTTATTCGCGCGTTACAGGGAGACTATCCTGGCCAGTATGTATGTTCTTTTATCTGAAGTAGACTTCCCTAGCGATCTCATTAGTTTAGAAACTAATTATAAGGATGACAGAAAATTTCATGACCGTAGCACATTCTATTTACTTCATTTTATTTGTCCGTTTCCTGAATTGGCTTTACGTACGCGGCTGAAGAGCCATTTGATCAAATGTCTTCTGTAGCTTATTCGATAGAAGTTATTATTGTTCAAGAATAAACCACTTCATATATTGTTTCGATAAAATTTGAATGGCCAATCACTATATCAATAATTCGTATTCTAGTCAAATTGTAGTGAACAAGAACACAAATGTGAACAATCGAATGTATTTCAACATAAAACTTCAGAATCACTTAACAAAATCTGAGAACCATACAGTAAAATACATCATTTGCAAAATATCAGTCAATCGTTTCATACTCCATTTTACCTTCATTTCCAAACCAATCATTCTCTTTTGTTCGATCTTCATAACCTTCTGCCGCCAACTATTCCACATTTCATTGATGGCATATACTACTTATATCTGTCGACATCATTAGCATACACACACACACCACACAATCATCTGTAAACACATTATCCAACTTTTAAATTATGTATATTTATTGTGAAATTCTTAATTTAAAGAAAAAGAGTTAGCAAACATTTTCACATATCATCCTATTGAATATGACGAAGATTTAAGAGGGTTTACGTGTACCATCTAGTCTGTTATAATGATTAATTTAAATTGGAATACATTACAAATACAAAATTCTTTGATTTCAACACAAATGTAGTTTTATTTAATAAATGATATTCAGACAAAATATGTATTTTATAAACTGCATATTTTATATTATTGTATCCATGTAAATGTCAAATGAAGACCATTCTTTAAAAATTATTATTTATTTAAAGTCTCTGATGTGTGCTTAATCCCCCCTCTCTTATACACACACAAACAAACAAAACCTCATATCGTTTAAAGTCGGACCGCCAAAAACACAAGAATTCAACATTCAATTGATTACTTGATGGATTGAAATTACTTTCATATCTAATTGATGATTTATATGAGTGAACATTTGCCATTCTTTTACAATGGTCTATTTTTTATTAGGATATTTTAAATGTCCAACTGTGTAAATCTAGTTTTTAATTCATTTAACCATCATGTACTAATTTCAACTAAGTCAAAAGAACAAATTTTTTCAGGTAGATACAATAAAGTGCAAGTATCATTGTTTTTTTTTTGTTTTTTGTTTAGAAAATGAAAAAAAAAGAAAAAAAAACTGAACACAACTAATTTTAAATTAACGTAACTGAAAGAAACATGAATGTGTATATGTGTGTGTGTGAGTGGTTTTTTGGTTTGGGTTTCAGTTTCGGCTTTTTTTACAATATCAGGCAGGTAACATGCATTCCATTCAATAATGAAAAAACAAAACAAACCGCATTCATGCAAACACAATCGAGATTTTCATCATTCTAATAAACTATCTTTTTTTTAATTTTTGAGCATTGGCAAAACTATTTTAGTTGGATACCAAATGAAGCATGTAAAAAAAGAAGTAAATTTTCAATAAATAATCATTCGTTTAACTAAAAAGAGAAAAATAATCAAAAGAAGCGGGCAAAACCTTTTCAAAGCATCAATATCCAAGATAACTCACATCTGAAATGAGTATAGCATTATGAAGCTAAAGTATTGAAAACGTCATCATTTATTTATTTATTAATCTATTAAATGATATGGAAATGTATTTTTGTATTAAATTCTGATTTTCAATAATAGTTATAGTCATTTAGTTATGTTTAATTGAATCTTCCTATTGATCATTAGGACTGCAAGTGATCGGTGCATACTGTGTGTAACACTTCGATAGCTAAAAAGATAACACGATAGCGTTTGAAGTGAACAGCACTGAGTTCGAGTCTCAGGGTGAACATCAATTCTGAGATGCAGGTACATTCAGCTGACGGATCTTAAATCAGATGAAACATGCGTCCTAGATTCCACTGTTAGCCACAATCTATCTATGCTTATATTGTTATTGTCAGTTATGTTCATTCGTTTATAGTTGATTTCAGTTGATTAATTGAAATAAATTACATTTGCAGATTATTCATCAGAGCATGTTATAAATTGAATATAACAGATTAATATTTTCATTTAAACACATTGTATTTAATTTTAGGCATCTATATCAAGATTGAACTTGATAGTTTCATATAAATTAAGCATTGGGTAGAGAATTAATAATAAATGTATTTGTTTCTTTTGCACTATTTAAACTTACATTAATTTAATGTCGGTTTTAGATTTACTCTGAAGAAGTGGTTTAAATTAAGTTACGAAACGTCAGAAATAAAATCGTTCTACTCACTGGGATATAATAAAAAATATATTTGGAGTTAGACAATAACACCACTGGATGCCGGCCTAGTGTTCTGGTTGGTTAAGCGCCTGACGCGAGACTGATAGGTCCTGGGTTCGAATCTCGCGGGGTGAGGGATCGTGGGTGCGCACTGCTGAGGAGTCCCATAGTGGGACGAAACAACCATCCAGTGCTTCCAGGTTTTCTATTATGGTCTAGCTTCAATTGACTCATGATTTCAATCGGTGAAAAAATATATTTATTATGTATTTAATTGTATTCAAATTAACCTAGTATATATGTTCGGAAACTTAGGTATGTTGCGTCATTTACATTTTGGAAACATCTTAAATGAAATTACGATAAATATTCAAATGATTAAATATCTGTATGTAGAAATTGATCCAGGCAAAAGTACTTATAATGTAGAATATACATTATAATGTTATAACATATAGAGATTTCGATCTCGAATTTGAGTTTATCGATATTACTATTCACATATATATGAACAGTAAATAAAAGTTTGATTATGCAATCAACAAAATTCACATCTTGGGTAGTTTATTTGACATGACGTTAAATCATAACAAATAAATAAAGGTTACAGAATTTGTGACCCCAAATGTAGTCAGCTATGTATCGGAGAAACGTTTTTCCTTAGATAGTAATTTATGACTGGGAAAGTAAATGTAATGTGCCTATTGTTAAAGAACTTTAAATTAAGATGAAATGGACAGCTATTTTTCTGATGGTTTTCCAGCTGATGTTAGTCTTTGATAAATTTATCTTCACAACCTAATACGCTGAAAGAAGCTATTAGGTGTCGGTTCTGTAGTAATTTAATTTCAATTTATTTCACGAATGTTCTCTATGAGAATGATTAAGAAATACACTGTTCTAGTGTGTGCTGAAGGATTTGATACTTTTTATACTTGGTTAGTCGTACGTTTGATAGTTTCACCATGTAAAGTTTACTATTTAATGTCTCAGGGTGATTTCATCAATACAATACTTACTTACTTACATCTGTTACCCTTCATGAAGCATAGTCCGCCAACCAGAATAAAACAGAATAACACGACATAACATGATCCAATTACACATCAAAAAATTCAAGCTATAATGTTAAAATTAGCATTAAGTGAACATGGTAGGATCCTAGATAAGATCAACTGAAATAGAATAGTCTTCACATTTTTTATGTAGAAATACTGAAAAAAGTTTGATTTGGACACATTTCTCGAGTCATGTAAACTTCATCACGTATCTAGATATAAACGAATAGTCTATGCTATTTGTTTCTTCTTTAAGAAAACTTATCTACTAAATTACCATCACACATCTACAAACACTTAATAATTAACTATTTTTTTTAAAATTCAACGTTAAAGATGTGATGCAAAAACATACTTCAGTGGACGAGATCCAATGAACGTAGATTTCATTATTTATATCTACAATCTTCTAGTTACTCGCATAATCTGTAATGTGAATCTTTCTGTTATTTAAATTAGTCATTCATATTGTGACATACTTTCATCAGTGATGTTACTGAGTTTATGGGTTAGCTATTACACAGTAATTCATATCATTTCGTTTAAAAAATTGTTGTATAGATAATAGGAATCACAACACAAGAAACTTAATTAAGACTAAAGAGTAATAATTTATTATTTTCGTTAAAAATCATATCTGAGGTAGTCTGTTTGAATATCTGAACTACCTGTTCCCGCCATCCAAATATTTTAACAAGCCATCTGTTCTTTATTTGTTTTAACATATCAATTAAATGTATAATCCATTCAGGTGAGTTTGTGGAAAGTTTACGACATTTCACTATACGAGTTAACTAAATGTACAATATGAATCTTTGTAGTTGCTGACAATATGCATCAAATTGAATGAACGTTGTTCATATGTGGATTTCTGAATTGGTATCATGTAACTGGCAATTATTAAATATTTCTCGTCAATATCGATTAAGACATAAGAGAGAGAAACCTGTTGAAATACATATATATATATATATATATATATATATATATATATATATATATATATATATATATATATACGTAATTGACTAATGTCAAAGATCATGTCGCTGATTGTTCATTAATCTTTACTTAATGTCGGAAATAGTGGAATCAATAATTTGTAACTTGGAAATAGTGTTAAAAAATGTAAACAATAGAAATTTTAATCTCCTGATTATACTAATAAAAATAATAAACTCTACCTGTAATTAAGAATTCAGTAAGTTAAAGAATAAGACAACTCTGATAGTTGATGACTTTGTTCTCATATATGCGTAAATTAAACACTTACATTTTATGATTAGTAAAAATAAATGTGTCACATATCTATGCACAAAATAATGTTGACATTTATACGTGAATATACTAAGGCAGAAAGAGAAAGCGAAGGTGAGAATTGATAAGACAAAAGTTCTTCCTTCTTGTTTTTTTTTGTTTTTAGTTTTTGATTTCTTATCTCAACCTTCCTTTTCTCTCATTGGAATCAAAATGAACACAAAAACAAAAAAAACAAAACAAATAAAGACTTGAAGTGGCAAATGATAACAGGATGACAAATTTACCCTCCCCCACGAAAAAATGTCTAACTATTCACAGGTAGATTCAATGATAAGGAAGCTGAATATGAAAAAGAAACAAAAAATACTATAAAATTAGCTGTCGAAGTGCTGTTTTTTTTCCAAAAACTTTTATTTATTTACTTATTTATAGAAATAAGAATTTTAGTTTTAGCTTCGTTTAAGTTTTATTGTCTATTTCAAAGTAGTGAGAAAACAAAGAGACTCGTCTTTTTCATGATATTTTCTAACGTAACGTTTGTCACGGTGAATTGTTTTTAATCAATAGCAAAAACGGGAATAGACAAGGTATTGATGATGCTGCTGATGATGATGATGATGGTGATGGTGATCATTAATCTCCTATTGACATGTCTAGTGGATTTATTTCGGATAAACTTTGAATATTCCCAAAGAGAACATTAAGAAAAAGAGGTTTAATTGAAAGAAGAAATAAAAAAAAGAAAAGAAAAGATGTGTCGTAAATTTTTTTTCATGAAACGAAGTTTATAGTGTGAAACGTTGATTTATTTTTTTTCTTTATTTGCTAAGCGTTTATATGAAAATTAATTATTTAAGGAAATTAATTTTAAGATTGATGATTAAGAAATGATAGATCCATTATGAAATGTTTCACTGAATTGTTGTTAGAAGTTTAACAGATATGATAATAAGAAAATCTTTCCAGTAAGTTAGATGGATCTAACAGATTAGTTGTAGTTTATAATAGATATTTCTAAGTTTAATTAAACTAAAGACTCGAACACAATCAACTGCTTGAAAATATTGTTACACTACTTAGGAATATTATTGGATACATTTAAGTTAATACTATCTTTAATGGTTAAGATTATGACTCAATTAAAGTTAGACCACCATGGAAAACCTGAAAGCACTGAATGTCCGTTTCATCCTATTTTGGAATCCCTCAGTAGTGCGCGCGAGACTGATAGGCCCTGAGTACGAATCGTGCGAAACGGGATCGTTGATGTGTACTGCTGAGGAGTCCCACAAATGGACGAAATGGCCGTCCAGTGTTCCCAGGTTTTCCACGGTGGTCTAGCTTCAATTGACTCATGATCTTAACTATTACAATTATAATCAGTATAGTCAAATCATAAGAATGGAATATTTTCGTAGTTTACACTCTGGCTAATTCTTAGTTAGCCAAGCGTTGAAAATAAAGGCACTGAACATCGATTTTTTCGTAGTGAGAGACCCTTTGGTAGTGGACATTAATTACTTCACTACGAAGGATAGACCCCAAGACTATCGGATCACTGAGCAAGCACTGAAACTGTAGATTATTAAGTTAGTGTCCAATAGAGTAAATGATTATTTTTGGTCAGTTCACGACATTACTTGGTCATTTTCAATTGACTGCGTCAAATGACTGTCTCACACTACTCATTTTTGATCTTCACTAGCAACAGCTTTTCACTGGAACGCATGAAATTACCCCTCGAACTTAGTCGCATGTCTACATAAAATCGCAGTCGGGATTACTGAATTTTCATAGTTTATATCATGAAACAATCACATTTAAACAACCAGTGAAGACTAGGAATCACTGAACTGTAACTACATGTTGGGTTCAATATGGCCCGACATATTATACTGCATTAAGATAACCACAAAGTTCTTTAATGGACCCGGTAATACAATAAATGTAATTCATAGGATAACTTTTAGAAATATACACATGAATTTCATGTTCATGTTTATAGTTGCCGGTACGAAAAGTTATTTTTTGTTATGTTCGTAGTTATAAGTGTACAGATTGTAGTATTTACAGCAGTGGTTGGATTTCATTTGGAGTCAATCGCGAAAATAAAATTTACAATAGCGAAGACGATTTACAGTTTAGATGAAGCACTTTAATAAAACTTTGTTTGCTGAGCTATGTGGTTTTAGCGACGAAGTTTATATTGTCCTTCTGTACAAATTTATCAGCACAAATGTCAGATCAAAGTGAGTTGTTTGAATTTCACCACATATGAATAACAGCCTATTCTGTGTATTATAATCTTGGTTAATTGTCGCTCCATCATTGTTTTCATGATTATCTTGACTGTTATCTCCTTCGATTTGATTTTTGACCAATAATTGGTTGATAAGGTGAGTAGGTGTCTGTATATTTCTGATTGATCTGAGTGCTAAGCTTTCGAAGATTCTCTGATTTTCTATAAATGCCCTCTGTCTAAATTCCCAAAACTTTCCCAGTAAAAGGTGTTCAATAGCTATAGTTTAGTTATCATTCTACAGAAGCCAAATCAGAATGATCTGTTCATACATAAGCAACTAAGTTCAGAAGTAAAAGATATTTCTAATATCTATTTGATTTATGAGTTTTTTCCAGTATATTCAGTGTTGATTAGCTATGGATTCCGTGTTGGGTACTTCGTTATATATGGAATTCATCACGTATACAGATCTTTATTTCAGAATATCAGTGCTCATGATGAAACATGGAAGTGGTTTTCTGTTGAATACAACGTAAAATTGGCAACTAATACCTTCCAGTGACAGTGTTTTTAAATAAGTCTGTAGCATAATGAATAAAAATTTAACGAAGAGAGAGAGATGATTACTGGGATAATATTCACCCTAAATTCACGTCTGCATCAACGAAACTCATGCAAGATTCACAGCTTCATACATATTTTGAGTTAAAACTTCTCACATATTACTTATTCATTTTAAACAAAAACTTACTGAATTCTGAAAGATAACAGTTTCACCATTGTTGATAATGAAGAAAGCATTGTTAAAGAAGCTTCAACTATCAAAATGAAAATAGCTGAATCTAAAGTAAATGACTTTTCAAGTAACTGAAGATTATTCAGTACTGTGTGTGGGCTTTATTAATATAATGTACTAAATTACTTCATATTTAAAATAAACTATGTTATACATTCTTTGACAAACTGTTCATGCTGATAGCTTTGCATATTTTAGTGTAGGATTTTCGCATATTTGAGTATTATTAATTAAATTAACCTGTGAACTGAGATTAATCCCTGTGACTGATATAGTTATTGTTTATTTTTCATTAACTAGGTGAATGACCTACGGAACCCATATCCTACAATCACTTATGCCTTCACTCATATCTGTCTTTGTACCGTAATACACAATTAATTTTTCAAGGCGATTGTTATATCCTTTGATTTATATTCATAAGGTCCTTTCCATAGACAAACAGTAGTAATCGTTACTCGACTACACTATTCTTATCAATTCATTGAAATCATTAAAAGTCAAATGGTAACTAACAACTGTTTAATCCAAGTTTAAAACATTACAGTTATAACTTCATAAAAGATTTATCTTCCGCGTTAATGGATTAAGAGTGCTACATGTTATATATCTAACACCATCAGTGATATTTATTTCACTCTTGATTTATTTTATCTTTAAATCACCACCCATGTAATTGAAATAGAAATAGTTTTTTCAAGAAGGAATCATGGATGCGCACTGCTAAGGACTCTCATAGTAGGACGAAACGACCATCTAGTACTTCCAAGTTTTCCATGGTAGTCTAGCACCAATTAACTCATCATCTCAACTATTAAAATATGTTATAGTTTACTGATGATCAGTGTATTTATCACGATCATTTTAATCAGAATTTGTAGACAATTTTTTCCTATATACGTGTGTGTGTATATTTCATTTACTACACTTGAAACTGAAATGGTCAGTTTATTTTACAAACAAAAGTAAATGTGTTTATGACACATAATTGATGATTACAAAAAGAATAAATATACATGTACTTAATAATAGAAAACAAACTCACATTTTGTGTACATTGTCCATTTATAGAACGATCATAAAATATATATCCACTTGGATAATTAGCAGGACATAAACGAGAATTAACATTATTTGGTTGGCATATATATCTTCTAGCAGTTGTATGTCGATCTAAATAAGGATGCATAGCCAAATAGTATTGTTTAGGTAATGGATACCTATAAAAATAGATAATGTAAATAATTTAATTTTCTAAATGAGAAGTTAAGGTTTCTAATAAAAAGAAAATAGTTGTATTACAGTTAAGTAGAATTAAAAGGATAAGGTTAGGTTTGGTGTCTATACACATATGTCAACACTGTATCCCCTCAATTTTGAAAAGAGTGTTTCATTTTGAATTATTAAAAATCTGTATCATTAGCGTTTAAATAAGAAACATACTAAACAAGCATATGCTCACTAGAAACTAGCTTCAAGAAGTATATCCTGGAGTTCTAATGAGAAGCCGTGACCGTTGAATTTCAACCGGGTCTGTTGTGAGATAGTAACTCACTGATGACAATGGTGGATGTGTCGCTCAATTTCATGGATTAGTTGAAGTTAGACATTAACACCGTTGGATGCTGGCCGTCTCAGTAGTCTAGAGGGTAAGCGCTTGCGCGCGAGACTGGTATGTCTTGGGTTCAAATCTCGAGAGGCGAGATTGTGGATGCGCACTGCTGAGGAGTGCCACAATATGACGAAACGGCCGTTAAGTGCTTCCAGGTTTCCCATGGTGGGGTATATTTCTACAGATCTGGAACACAATCGATCAGGCAAACTATAAGCCATTCAATAAAAGAGAGTGGCTGACGTACAATAAATCTTTAGATTTAGAACAAATTAAAGTTATTCTGTTTGTCTAATTATTTGACAGCTCAGAAAAATTTTAAAAAAAGATTGTATAGATAAAATAAAATAACAAAAGTCTGACAGTCAATGAGTTACTGATGCAAGCTGAAAGCTTCAAGTCTATTGGAAGCAATTATAAATATTAACTCAGAGATACCCAGAGTCATCTGTATGATAATGAACCAGGATATTACAAAATCATTTGATTTGTAGTGAGTAATTTACCATCTTTTAAAGAAGAAACCAACCATTTATCCAGACAATTGGATTATCAGCTTGTGATCTGAATGATAAAGATCAAACTATGCTACATAAATGTCCTAGGTTTGATACTTATCTAGGTTTTAATTGCACATTGATACAGAAAACCATCCAATAATCTCAATTTTTCAGCATCTTATGGGTTTGAATAATCATTTCATGATTTAAGTATCTCAGAATTATTTAGGCATTAAACACTTAATAAAATGACATGCAGATAATTTTTGAATAATTTAGATTATAGCTAGCAGTGGAATTCAATAGACGTTTATCGTTTTGTTTGGGGTTTTGTTAACTGAACATTGATATTTAGAACTGTAGTTTGATCAATCTACAACATAATCCAAACCCAATGTGACCATTTATTTGACAAGGTAGTAGTATAAAGTGTTTTTGATAGAGTTTGATGAATTTCATTCTTTTTAGATGACTGATTATCTTTAACTAAATAATAGGTTGTCACTAGTCATCATTCGAAGATATAAAGATATTAAGGCACATTTAATACGTTTTCATAAAGATGAGATTTAATTTGGAGTCATTGAACACTTTTCTACTCATTCTACTAAGTATTCTATAAATATCCGTATACGCTATGATTGAGATGATTTGGTTCATTTATTTCCAATTCAAACCAATAGAGAAATTATCAACATAGCGTTGTGGAGATTACTAAGTTATTGATTGAGATCTTGAACCAATTGATGTTAGAACACGATTGAAAACCTGGAACCACCCTTCAGCAATGCGCACCCACTCACTAGTCCCACAATAGGACGAAACGGCCGTCCAGTGCTTCGAGGTTTCCAATTGTGGTCTAACACCAAGTGGTTCAAGATCTCAATCAATAGAGAAATAATTTGACATTCAAATAAAAATAAGTCTGAATAAATCATATTGATAAACAAAATGGGGAAAGATTTCATAGGATAGTGCTACTAACAAAAGATAAAAATACTCTCAGTTGCAAATATTTAGAAGCAAATTCATTTTGTGCTTGTATAGAAAGCTAAGTAGAGTTACAATAACCAAGAATTTACTAATTCTTCATCTGGTGTTATTGTATGCTAATGAATCAATACTTATAATCATAAAATGATAATATATTCACAATATATATCTATGTATATAGGTAAAATCCAGCTGTTTCGCTGCTTGGTGTGAATAGGTTCTTCCGAGGATAGATTAATTATTATGATGTATCCTTATTATAAACAATCTAACCAATGCTTATTTTACTTGGTAGCAATAAGCCAGACCTTGTTAATAGTATTTACCTAAGTAGTATTCAAAATCTAGTTTCTATAATCTGGATTGTTATTTTACTTTACCTGTCGTTTAGAATGTTCTGTCAAACGGTGCACTTCGATGTTGACCAGTTATTGGAAACTACGGAAATTATTAGTATATCAATATATATATATATATATATATATATATATATATATATATATATATATATATATATATATATATATATATATATATATATATAACCTCCGTTTGAATGTGTTCAAAACAAATTATCCTTTCATTTTCCGAAATAGAGAATCATTCATGCTGAAAATATCAATTATCATACTCTTCATTTGATATTGTCCGATAGCTTAGGTAACATAAAACAATAGCCGTAATCTATTTAGCTTATAGTCTGAGGTATATTTAACTACAAAAAGCAATTTTTCCAGGTCTGTTTCATACTGTAAATGTATGCGCGCGAGCGCCTAACCTCTAGGCCAATGAGCCAGTCGGCATTCGACGGTGTTAATGTCTAACTTCAACTAATCCACGAAATTGAGCGACACATACACCATTATCATCAGTGAGATACAATCTCACAACAGACCTAGGTTTTCCAGTTTGGCCTAGATTCAATCGATTCATGATCTCAACTATTAAAATTACTATTATGTCCACAAAACCCCTTCTAATAATAATAATATTGATGTGTAAATATAATGTATAATAAAAGGGGTGTTATCAAGGTAATTACGATAAACAAAAATGGATTCATGTGAATTGGGAATGATGGATGTGAAAATTAAGATAGATTCAATCAAAAAAGGAAGGGGATAAAAGGTTCATAATATTCAGTTTAGGTATCCGGTAATCTAGTCGTAGGTCAGGGTAAACAAAGAGGCTGGAGATACCTTTTATGGATACATAAGTTTGATTTTCAGGAGTTGATCCAGATGGCTTTGGCTATGTAGTGTAACCGTAATCTAGATCCTTGAGGTAGATATTTTTTTGGAATTTGATGTAAAACAGAGAAAGCTTCATCGATTTTGATATAATGTTCACTATCTACCAAGTGAGGATAAGATAGTGCTGCTGATCGATTTAGTGACTTATTTTCTTAACCATGCTAGTATATGCTCCCAAACACGCAACGACAAAGTCCTCTAAGTACGACCTATGTAACTAGCTTCATAGGAGCAGTTGAATTAGTAAACACACATGGAGGAGTCCATCATAGGTAACCTATCCTTGATTTGTTGTATGAGTACTGATTTAGTTGAGAAAGTTATATGTAGCTTGTCGGTGTGAAACATCCATTCAACAGATCTTTTTGAGTTGACGTGTTAAAATATCACCCACTATATACCCATTGAAGTTTAGTCTAAGATATAAGGTTTTATTTTTACTGACTGAATCACAATTAATTAATTCATACATTTTTAAGAAAATACTAATATACTAATACCAATATTTGTTTCCTATGATAATTGTGAAAATGACAAACAATCACTAGTGATATATCAGTCACCATTTAACAATCTCTACCAAGATTTTAATTTCATGTCTATGATAAATTGAAAAATACTTTTGATTACATTCTAATCTTTATTCTAAATTCTCTATGTCTTAATATACTACTTAAAAAAGAGAAACAAAATAAAAAAGGGATTATGTCAATTCGATTAAATTACAATGGGATGATAATTTGAGATAAATTGAAATACTCATAAGAAATATGTAATGAAATTTTTTAAAAAGGGATTCATGAACTGAAACATTTCAAAAAAAATATTGTTTTAAGTAAATGGATTGTATGTTTCAAATGATTATAGGGTTGATTAGTATCAGAAGGGCTTTTGTGGAGATTGTAGTAATTTCAACAGTTGAGATCATGAGTTGTTTGAAACTAGACCACCATAGAAATAATGAACTACCAACCTTAGATAAATAATAAGATTGAAACTTTTAGTTATATGCCTTATACTTGTTAGGTATGCAGAGGAATATACCAATAATTATCATGTTAAGTCTAACGGTGACCTTGGACTTTAAATGTACACTCCTTATTGGTCGATATTTGTTTCACTTGTTAAATATTGTGTAAATGTTGTTTTCTATTTTATGGTACGATGTGGTTTGTTTGTTTGGTATATAAATAGAGTATGTCTTAAATATAACGATTTGTAACTCAGAGGCTGTGACTTGCGTTCTAGACTCAACTGGCTGGGCTAGACAGGGAAGTGGGACCAATCAGGACACTATGGCGTCCACAACGTGTTTTCCGTGCCACTGTAATCGATCAATAAAACGCTGCTTATCTCAACGTGCAATCCACACGTTACAACAATACTACAAATCAATTGTCTGGTTTGTACTATCAAACTCAATGAGCCTTGACTACTGATAATTATTTTTGATCCAAAGTAAATTCCGTTGGTGAAATAAGATTATAGTGCTTGTGATAATTTAGTTCATTGGTTCTTAATAGTTTTGATTTCTGATTATCAGCTTAGACAGTCAGTGATAATAATAATGATCAATGGATTGACATTTTCCATTACTTTTCAGTGAGTTGTTTTTCAAATTAATGTAAGCGATTTTATCAGATACTGAATGTCAGGGAATTTTGAACTGTAGTGTAAAAAGTGTCACAAAACTTCTTTATTAAATAAAGTCAATATAATCAACTTTCAAAACACAAACTTAAATGTAAAACAAAATGGGAACATTATGGTGCTTAAATATTTGTAACTCGTTTCTATTGGTAAATTGTTTGGCACCTTTAAACAGTTTAATAAAATATGTATCGTGTAGGGAAAAATAGATGCCTCAGGATTTGAGTTACGTCATGCTAACGAGCGCCAATAAGTGTGAAATACAGCTTTAGGGCGTTCTGTTAACTACATTGAACTACCTATTATCTAAAAACAAAGCAAACGATATTAAATCAGTCTGACTAGTGTCCACATTACAACCTGATTGATAGAATTTAACCAGTACTCAATCATTGTAAATATCTCAGTTCCACAATAATCCATTCGTGAAGAAATGATTAGTGCTAACATTACAGACTTCAAAGCTAGATGATGCTAGTTTAAATAACAAAGTAATTATTAGTTAACTCAAGGATACAAAGTCCTCTTTTTAAATAAATTTAAATCTAATATTCCTGAAAGGTTACTTACTTTTCACCGATCAACAAAATATATTCAATTATTCAATTATTTTTTAATAGTTGAGATCATGAGTCAATTGAAGCTAGATCGCCATGAAAAACTTGGAAGCACTGGATGGCCATTTCGTCATATTTTGGCATTCCTCATCAATGCGCATCCACGATTTCTTTTAAAAAACTGTTTTAGAAATTATTTGTAACTATTTCTATTTCAATTACATAAATTAGGATTTAAAGTCATGGTCGTAAGTCCGCACTGCTGAGGAGTCTCACAATAGGACGTAACTGCCATCCAGTGCTTCCAAGTTTTCCATGGTGGTCTAGCATTAATTGACTCATAATCTCAACTTTTGAAATCACTTCAATCTTCACAAAACCCCTCTTAATACTAATTATTTTTCAATGATATCATTTTATGATTCAAATGAAAAACTAAATATGATAACCGGAAATTAACATTGTATTCATTTAATAAATTCTATTGTTTGATTATATAATCAATGATTATATAATTCATTATGAACTGTCAGAATAGATACTAACAAACAGTTTGGAATTCGTGTTCTCATTCATTATTTCTAATCATTTAGAAATTAAACTTTAATAAATTCAACTTAAGGTCATTTAATTAAATAACCTATAATCTTTATAAAACACAATGATTAAACATCTTAATGACATATTAAATTATGATTGATTTAATTTTAATGAAAGCTGAGTAAACACAGATGTAAATTAATTCACTTGATATTGTTTTACTTGAATCTTACCATTGATATTTAGGACTGAATTTGATCAGTCTCTTATTGAAATGTGTGCATTCTGTGCCTATTGCCTCGATATCGCCTTAATTTACAAGCATTATAACAATGATGGATAGTGGCTAGCAGTGGAGTTCAGGATGCGCGTTTCGTTCTATTTGGGACTCGTCAGCTGGAAGTCAATTGAACTTCACCTCATTTCACAAGCAAGTGGCTATCAAGAATCAGTAGCTAAGTGGATAACGTGATAGAGTTTGAAGCGAACGGTACTGGGTTTGAGTCCTAGAGTGAACACCAACTCTGGCATGCAGGCACATCCAGCTGACGAGTCTCAAATGGGACGAAACATACGTCCTGGATTCCACTGCTAGCCACTATCCATCTTTCCTTACAAATGTTAATTGTTTTGTAATTATTTTATCATATTTGATTGCAATTCATTTGTTTATGAATCAAAATCTAAAAGTAGTTCGATCAAGAAGTGTATTGAAAAAATCTTATAAACGAATTAAATAAAGTCGACAGATATAATTACCTGCCAATCTCCTTTCCCCCTTCTCTCAATCTCGATATGTATATATAATACATCCAGTTTTATTTTGGTTACTATACTCTTTAAAAATTAAAACTACACATTGTTGAGATGCACCAACATCTCTATTTATTTAGTAATTATTTGTTTAGTTATTTCTTATAATCATTATATGAAACACTAGTTAATTATACCTGAAATTAATTATATGGAAGCATAATTCAATAGCTTGTTTATGATGAAATTAGATAGTTTTATTTTCACTGCTTAGTTTGAATAATGATTATGTAATATTATTGTTTGTTGATCTTAGGTATCATCTAATAGAATAAAATATATTTCAATAGGACAATGAAAAGATGGAGTTGGTCTGAAAAATGTGATGTGTTTGCGCCAAACATTTCGAACAATCTGGTCACGCATATATGAAAATTAATAAAGGTCAATTAAATGAAAGCTCAAGTCAAAAAGGTAACAAACGAAAGAATAAGAAATTGTCGCATTATCCTAGGCTATAGATTGACTTAAGGATTAACAATGGTAGATTCAAGGTTACAACAAATTGTTTTTGTACACATAAGGGGCTTCAAAACAAATTAGTGTCAAATGATCCGATCAACGTGGGAGATAGAAAACCATGTTCATTGATAGCGAAACATATAATTGAAACGGGGCACAAAATTGACACTAATACAGCTTTTAAAACGTTGTATAGAAATTGTCAAGGTCGAATTCTCAAGTTTATTGAACCCTTGGCAATTCGTAAATTTAACCCCCATTATGTGTACAAAAACAATTCATCGTTACCTTGAATTTAGCCTGGTAATCCTTAAATCAATCTATGGCCTAGGATAACGCGACAATTTCCTATTCTTTTCATAAGATGTAAAATTGTTTCACTCAACTTTGTTATCTTTTACTTGAACTTTCATGTAACTGACCTTTATTAAGTTTCATATAAAATGCCCTGACAAGTATATGTGTGAGTAGTCCCATACTAGGACGAAACGGCCATCCAGTGCTTCCAGGTATTCTATGATAGTATAGCTTAAATTAACTCATGATTTCAACTATTTAAATTTCTAAAAATCTCCACAAAACCCCTTCCGATATGTGTGATCAGATTGTTCGAAATGTAATTTGTGATACTGACTACTTAAATGACTAATTTCCACATTCACTAATAAACTAATTTGACATATTCTACATAGAACTATAGATGATGTATTCATGTGACACTAGTAACTTAATAGTTATAGAAATGTGGTAAACCTCATTAATTTCGAAATCATACAATAGATTTCTACTTTGAATCTCTTCATATTTATGATGAATTTATGGTGTAAGATAGATACACATAACCATAGATTATCTATGGCAATAAGATCACTATGAAACTTTCACTAGGCAGTCTGTAAATGCTATTGATTAGCAACAACCTTATTAATTAGGGAATACATCACTTCCTAATTTATAAGCGTTTTAAATCAAACTACATCGATTAATCGATAGCGAGATACCATATATGTATATACACAGAGAAAGATAATTAAGTCATTGTGCCATAACAGTTTTAATTGTACTAAATTAAAGAAACGTATAATAATAAAAGAAATTACCTACCGACATGCTGTTTTAATGATTGTCTCAAGTGGTTTACGCCAATGTTGCATATTCGATTTTCTTGAAGGATCCATAACAATTCCATTATCACTAGCTAAATGTTCAACATCTTCATATTCTGGCAGTAATCTGATATTTTTTACATTAATGTGGACACTAATCCCAGAAGGATATGCCTATTAAAATAGAAAATGAATTGAATAAATGGTTGATTTTATTTCTATATACTTTATTTTCGCACATTTACAAACATGCAAAGTACAATTCAGTATGAATGCAAATATAAAGTTAAATAATTTCGAGATTCTTAGTAACAATGCTGAAAACAACGTGGAACTATTAGTAGATCCTCTTTTTGTAGTTTCCGAAACCTGTATGTAGAACCATTCTTCAACTATAAACAAAACAGTCCTTACTCTGCCATAGCAGAGAAATACTTAATGAAATCAGTAACACCACTTAGATTATCAATCTGCCCTGTCATCCTCTAAGCTCTACAATTACCACAATTGTCTGTGAAATAATGTGAAAGAAATGGTTGTTCAAGTCATTTATGATTGTCATGTGTATACCTTTTATTTGGTTATTAAAACAGGTCGTCTTATTTATATCCTAAATTCAAGTACTTGTAAATCGGTAAATTTGACACTAAATCTCATCTACTTTCTAGACTTCCTAAGAAATAGTTTTTACATATCAAAAGGACTTTGTGGATATTATAGTAATTTCAATGGTTGAGATCATGAGGAGTCCCACATTAGGACGAAATGGCTGTCCAGTGCTTCCAGGTTTTCCATGGTGGTCTAGCTTCAATTGACTCATGATCTCAACCATTGAAACAGTTTTTTGTCATAACCTAATTTTTAGAAGAAAGTACTTTCAAAACAATCTCTGAATAAATATATTTTAGTATTAATATGTACATTTGATGTTTTATCTGAAAGCGATTGCATTACTTATATTTAGATTTATAAGAAAACCGTTACATAAAGTTATATTCAACTCATTATGTCCTTAACTATACAATATCGCGAAATATGATTGCCAAATTTAAATAATCTGACTTATACGATCAAACTAATGACTCATACATCAGTACGAGTAGCCCAAAGTGTCGATTGGTCCTTTCTCCGTCTACCTCTGCCTGTTAAGTCCAAAACACCAACCTCAGCTGCTGCGATACAAATAATAAATTTCAAACATACTTGATTTATGTACACGCAAAATCAGACCATATCACACTATAAAATAGAAAGTAACATTTGAACAACATCAAACGAAAAGTGGTTGTGAGTATGAAAAACTGTGACCAATAGATTGAGAATAAATTAAGAATAGTAAATTATATAACAGTAACCAATACGTCAATTAAGAGCTTATAATAAGAGGAATATAAACATGTATAGTTCTGTCACTTAACAATTATACAATAGAAATATATATATATATATATAGTATTAGTCCACAAAGAGATCCCAACAGTTACCATTCATTATTCTCGTCGGGATATAACACATTGGATGCATAATGATCTAGAAGTGAAAACCATCTAGTGATTTATACATTATTAAAGGGGAAAAATGACATATGTTATAACGGCAGTACACATTATAGTGGCTGGTTCTATGTCGAGCCCACATAGCTTATTCTAGCTTCTGGACAGGTCAATTTATCCATTCTTCTTGAGTCATATTTTGACCTTGTTAATTATTCACTTATCAACCTTGACTGTTTTTATATGAGTGTTTGTGTATACAATTCTTATTCTATTGGTCACTTGTCTGTAACTTATTTTTGTGTGATTATAAATATCGTTTAACGCTTGATTAAATGGAGTTGGTTCACACGCCTTCTCCATTGAGCGTCATTTTGTTTCGTTTCGCTGTTCATTCTTCGCTTAATTTGCTGCGATTCTCTGATTCTCTGATCTGATCAACGAGTGTAAAAAATATGACTCAAGAAGAATAGGTAAATTGGCCTGTCCAGAAGCTGGAATAAGCTATATGGGCTCGACAAAAGACCAGCCATTACAACATGATTAACCAGGTTTTTTTATATGATGAAAATTGTAACTTAACCGGAAGCAAAACTAAAACCATTCATTTTCTCAAACACAAAAAAAGAAAAAGGAATGGATTATATTAATTCACCAGTCAATGAAAAAACAAGAGAAATAAATATCCCAACTATTGACGAAACTTTTGAAAAATTGGAAACAGTGGTTTCTATAGATCACTATATTACAATCAAACAAATTTGAGTTAATAATCAAATATAATGTAATATCTCTTTAGGATGTTTATTTCAACAATATTATATATCAGTATGGGTTTTTGTGGATATGATAGTAATTTTAATAGTGGCGATCATGAGTTAATTAAAGCTGGAATACCATGGAAAAACTGGAAGAAACGGACGTTCATTTCTTTTTTGTGTGGGCCTCCTCAGCAGAACCCATCTATGATCCTGCTTTGCGACGTTCAAACTTAGGGTCTATCAGTCTCGCTCGCGAACACTTAACCACTAGACCACCGAGACGGCCGGTATCCAATGTTTAACTTCAACTAATCCACAAAATTGAGTGACACCCACAAATGTCTTTATTGAGTTACTATCTCACAACAGACCCGGGTAAACTCCACTGGTTACTGCTTCTCACTAGAACTCCAGGAAATATCTCTTGAAGCCGGTCCTTAGTGAGCATATGTTGAAATATATATTTATATATTCAGTGAACATCAAAGACAATATTTAATATTTCATAAGTTTATCTTTCTGGTTGAATAAACTTTGCCTGTTTTTTTTTATCCTACTGCATCCAACTCTTTGTTATTATTATTATGGTTATTTGTTGTTGATATTTGATTTAATTAACATTTTTGTTTGTTTGTTTTCTTTTCTACATAAAGTATCAACAACAACAAAAATATAAAACCAGAAATGATAATTTCAATATCGTAGTTGATTGGCACACGTTAAATAAGCATTCATTGCCTACCATTACTATTATTACTATTGTTGTCATGCTTTTCTATATTACTTTTTATACTTATATCTAATTCTTAACTTTCTATTCACCTTTCTCCTTCGTTTCTTCTCTTTTTTTTCTTGTTTCATTACTCTAAACTTCAAAATATTGAAATATTATTTGAAAAAAAAAGAAAATAGAAGGGTGATTTTGTGGTTTGGTTTGCTTATGTATTACAGTTAGTGATGATGCTTTTCTATTTTGAATAGTGAGAAAAAGATTATCCATTGCTTTCAGTTTATTTCTCTTGCTGGTTTATTGTCCTTATAATAACAATAAGAGTAATCATAATAATAATAGTGATTTCACTCTATTTTTGATTCATTAAAATTCCAATTTTTCAGTAATGGTATTTATTATTATTCAAACTGACATCAAAGAATTATTACCACTGTATTTGTGTATGTAAGTAAGTACATTAACCTATTTATGCATATGCCTAGTGGGTTATACATAATGAATTATTGAAATTCCATTAATAAAGAGTATATTATATAATAGTGAGACTTTTCATTAAAATTATAAGAATTTAGAAGTGATAATCAATATTGTTAAGTGTATAACCGTCTGTTGAATAATTTTACAAGTTATATAGAATCATCTAATTCATTAATAAATAGTTTGGTTACTTTTATTATGAAATGAATAAAATACAAATGAAATTTCATGATTTTTAATTTCACTGGTTGAGATCATGAGTCATTTGAAGCTAGACCACCATGGAAAACCTGGAAGCACCTAACGGCCGTTTCGTCATGTTGTGAGACTCCTGAGCAGTGCGTATACACGATCTCTCCTCGCGAGATTTGAACCCATGACATATCACTGTCGCACACAAGCGCTTACCCTCTAGACTACTGAGACGGCCGGCATCCAACGGTGTCAATGTCTAACTTCAACTAATCCACGAAATTGAGCGACACATACACCATTGTCATCAGTGAGCTACTATCTCACAACAGACCCGGTTGTATATTTAAATATTGATTATGGTATCTTTTTATTAATAAAATTATGTTAGTAGAAGTTTGTTACCAGCGGGGTTCTTATTCATTCACTTATTTTTCTCTATGAGAACATTTAATATTACATTTGGTATCGTTTTACTTGTAACGTCCCATTGTTATTTAGGACTGTAATTGATCAGTCTCATGTTGGCATATGTGCATCCTGTACGGATCGCCTCGATAAAGCTTCAAGTCACAAGCCTTATAAGCAAAGATGGATAGTGGCTAGCAGTGGAATTCATGATGCGCGTTTCGTGATGCATGTACAGGCATCCCAGAGTTGATGTTCACTCCCGAGCTTGGAACCAGTACCGTTTGCTTCAAATTCGATTGCGTTGTCTACTTAGCTACTGAGTGAACATCAACTCTGGGATGCAGGCACATCCAGCTGACGAGTCTCAAAGAGGACAAAAAGGGAGTCCTGGGTTCCACCGCTAGTCACTATCCATCTTTATTTAATGTTACAGTCGATGCATCATCGTATACATTAGATTTATGATGTTGGTTGTATAAAAATCGATTTGTCCAGTTTCAGATACATATGGTTGCGCATCTGTCTCTAAATAATTATGGAAAACTGATTTAAAGTTTATGTGATATAGTTAAGCTAATCTCTTTGGACAACATGGCAGTATAATATCGAAGACAAAATCTATTTAGGATACATGCAATTCAGGTTTGCATAGCAATATATCAACAATAGTAAGGAAATTTGATCTTATGAACACAGCATAGTTAACGGATATCGATTAAATCACTAAATGAGTCTGTGACTCATTTTATGTATCTTAGCATTTAATACAGCAAATTAATATACAGAAATATACTAGCAAAAACAGGATATTGAAATCGTGCATTAGAATAACTGAAATAAGACTAGTAGTATTAACAAGGGCATAAATATAGTTCATAAAGTTAGAATAATCCATCCATAATATATTTTATCTGATTTTATATTTACTCAAAATAAAATGAATTTACACAGACGTGTCTTAAAAACAGTGGCCTTACACAATTGCTATCAAAGGCTCCAATTTTCTAAGTTCCGTGTCAAACAGTTTTAAGATTGATAAACTATCAAACATTTAAGCTCAATGAAAAGTATTCTGATACATTTCACTATAAACAATCTTAATCAAAG